AAAGTCGACGCTATACTTTCCGAAACTCGTTACTGCGAATTGACCTTCTAGTGGTAACCCAATCCAGGCAGTATAGACATATGTTTCATTAAAATGAAAATATTTCGCTCCGTTTAAGCTAGCCGTTGTTCTCTTTGATCGTGCACGAAAATTGCTTTGTTGTCAACACATATTAATATACAATTCAGTAGAGAAATAATTATAGGTATAATTTAACGGAACCAAATTGTTCATTTAACCATTTTTTACATCGATATAATTGGATACATATATTTAGAAAATTATTAACAATAATAGTTTATATAAATCACATTCAGATATAATCCAACTTGCATGTGAAATTTATTCTTGTTTGGTGTATCCGATATTTGATAGTTGTTTCAGTTTAATTTACGAATAATTAGATACAATATGATTGAGTTTAATAATTAGATTAAATTTGATATAATTAGATTTTCGGAAGAAACCCTTGTAATCCATAACAATATAATTGCAATTATAATAACTTTAAATATTATAAGTTGACGTGATAAAATATTTTGGTAGTAAAATACTTATCGAGATAACCCGCAAGGTAATATCTTTTCAAGAATGTTTTGACAAATGATGATTAAATGGAGAATCATTGAATAAAATCTGTTTTAATACTATAGATTTTTTACTTTGACTGTTTGTTCATTGGAGAGAAACCTCTCGAATAATTTTATTGCCAGAATTTTGAACATTTCGAATCTCACAATCAGAGAGTGATTGTTATATAGTTTAATTACGAATCAAATTCTTTCTAACAAATTGCGTAAAAGAATAATTGTTATCATTATTTTAATTAATTAAGAACTCAGAATTAAATAGATCTCTTATTATAAGATTGAATTTCTTTGTATTTTATTATATTGTTAATATTACTCATTAAGTTATTTACTATGATAACTAATAGTAAAACTTCTAATCTATACAATAGAATTAAATATTTATATTAACGTACAGTACATTATTTTTCAAACTTGTATATATAAAACATAAAAATCAAATATTAACAAATATTATAATAGATCGATTTAGGAAACAGATTTACTGTTCTTAGTCTCCATCGATCCCTTCAATGAGCTGAGTTGCATTGGTTTTACTGTGCATCCGCAGTGGGAAGTCTGATGCGGCTCGCAAATGTCACCTCGTGATTCCCCGAACGCAATTTCAATTGGAAATCGCTGACGATCTCTGCGAACCGCATCCCCATGCGATGTAATTAGAAACGGCGTCGTAATGAAGCTGTCAATTATCTCCCGACGATGCAGCAGGTCGTTTCCATTCTCGATTTGTCGCTGCATCGAAACGACGATCCTAAATGGCGATTAATTGACGGCTATCAACACTGTAATTTATAAATCTCCTCAGTTTGAACGTCTGTTTTTCGAACGGCGATACTTTTCTAAAACATAGTAATAAGATGATAAGATTTAGTGCTAATATTTTAAGTCAAACAAAATTTTCTTTTTATTAAAAATTCTATCATCCTGTTTCTTCTTCTTCTACAATAACTTAATAGAATTTCGTTACAAATCTCGTGTGTCACAAACCTCATATGCGGACCGCGTTGATTCAATTTGTACAAGGATTAATTTCAAATCTGATTTTCATCCCCATTCTCATCCCGGCCTTACACGATACAGTTAGAGAATGTTTTTTATCTGACTGCGAGCAGGACTTATCTGCAAAAATTACGAGTGCAATTGTATCAGCGTAAACGCGTTCTTTTTGCTCGAGTGTCCTCGAAACAGGAACATCGGTTGCATCGGCCCACGTATTTTGTCAGTGACATTACTCACAGCCCACTAAACGTGCTTTCTCGTCTACACGGCCGATCGCGTTAAATTACCGCGCATCGCGGAGACTGCGGCGATATCCGCGTGCAAAACTCGAGTGATATTGATACATTTCGCTTTGTATCGCTCGTAGAATCGATGGTCGCTCCCGTGGAGCTTGAAGGATTTGCATTCCTGTCGAATCATTCAAACTCGACAATTTTTCATTGCATCACCCCACGCAATGTTTCGTGGAATTTCCAAACTGGCGGCACACATTGATATATGTCACTTTCCATTAGATCTTTCAAACTCGATGATTTTCAGATTTAGTTCAACATGATAGGTATCCCTTTTGCGTCAATAACGTTGAATGCATGCCAATTGTGGATTAGGAATTGAAAACTTTTTAATTTTTTTGCCGATACAATTTTATAGCTTTCGTAGGCAAAGTAAGCAGCTCGAAAGTCGTGTAAATTAAGTTTAACACTGTCTTCTTCGTTATTTGGAATTAGCTAAGATCCCGTTCGACCGTAAACAACGTTTCTATTATTTACAAATAATTAATTGTTTAAGAATAATGGGTGTTAATTAAAAATTTTTTCAGAATTATTCTTTTCTAATTGCGATGAGCTTCGGGGATATGTTATGCAGTTATGTAATACTTTAATAAATTAAAGAGAATTTCAAGTGAAATAATTTTGCGAAATATGAGTATTCTCATAAATGTTAAAGAAAAAAATATCTTTGCGATATTTCATTGTCATTTTTTAGTTTTTCAAGCTTGCGTTTGAGATTTCTCAATTGATTCTTTTCGTTATATGTTAAATTAAGATTTGCTGTATTAGCTTTGACTGAAGACTTGAGTTTGTTTCGCAATTTACAACGGAAGCAATTTTCATGCATAAAGCAAGATTTTATTAATAAACTTAATTGTATATTATCAGCGCCGTAAGCTCTTAATATCATTTATAATGCCTAACAAATTAAATCAAACAAAATTGAAATCCTTTGTTTCAATTGTCACTGAATCACAATTACGTAATGGCTATTTATTAAACCGTTTTTAATGACTATTGCAAAACCATTTTATTTATTTTTACATATTTATTTGTTAACAATTTTATTATATTTCGTCAATTGTTATCCTCTTCTAAAATTACCTGCGAAACTACTCATACATTAGATGTGCTAGTTTGCTGTACTTAAAATATTTAAAAGCCATTTTATTATCTATAGATGTGTGACTTATTGCGCGTGTGATTTCGTATTATGTAATAAAAAATATACAAAGGGCACTAATTAGAATAAGAGGTTTTAACTGATATTCAATCGTGATAGAATAACTCAATTTTCGTATAATTAATTACCGTTAAAATTCTCTTCACAATGAGTAAAAATATGCATAAAATTTTGTTAATCAAAATTATTTTACATAATCACCGTTGATTTTATAAAAAAAGAACAAATAATTAACTTTCAATATAATACAGGTACTGTATCATTGTAAAAAAATCTGCCAGCACTCATGAATCTTTGTTAGCCTGTTCTTTCATGATAATGCATAAAGCTAAACACTGGTTTGTCCGTCCCGATCGGCATCGTTTCTTCCATCAGCTTTCCGCGTTCGCCGAGGACGGGGTAGCCTAGGTCAGGCATTCGTGACGTTATGTGGGTCAAAGAACCAGTTCAACAACTGGGAACGATAGCATACGACAGACCGCCTGTCGACGCCGGCCCGATGACGTCACGCGACGCTATTCTCGGCGCAACGCCGACGCATTTACCGTGGCTAAAAATAAGAACTGCAGTGGTGCACCAACAAACGCGCAAGATGACAGCCGGCCAATAAAATCGGCCTGCTCGCCCCGCTGCAGTACTAACAATAACAATAACGACGGTCGTTGCACGCTGCTGATTCCGTTCCTTGACCTAAGGTCCAATTCGGATGCACGAATGTGAGAATGAATGGGGATGACGTTAACGAGATATAAAATCAATAAATGAAACAACTTTACGTATTAATTATCACACATCTCATATTTACTTTAGATTTAAATAATTGTCATATTTTACTTTTATCCTATATTTTTTTTGCGCATGAATTATAAATGTGAAATTTGTAAGAATAAAATTATTTCCTGTCAAGATCTTAAACGGCGTGCACGTACAATTTAAATTGATCAGTAGCTAAATGAGCATGTGTAGATTAAATTTCTCGTAATATTGGACAAATATATACGATACATATTATAGGAAATCGTCGCACGCGACAATGTACCATAAATCATTCGCTCTAACAACGGAGCAGATAGTGTTGATCGTCACGCAGTTAATTTTTGTTCCTATATACACACACATATATTTTATATATTTGTCGAATGTTACGAGAAATTTAATATGTATATTTATAGCTACTGATTAATTTAAACTTTGTGTGGACCGTTTGAGATCAATTGACAGAAAATAATTTTATTCTTTTAAATTTCATATTTATAATTCACGCATAGATAGATAGACAGATAGGTAGATAAACATTATATAAGTACATAGAATAGACTTTTAAAGCAATTTACATGTTGAGCCATCGTGTAATTTGCATTATAGTCAACGTATACCAATTTCTGTAATGGATCTTACAGAGATGTTGCTCTATAACATTGGACGGAAATGACTCGTGGGATATAATACAGTAGTGAGTAGATAGCAATAATGAGTATTTGAATGGCGTATACGCTGCACACTGTTGCGCTGTTTGATTAGTCATGCGAACCTAATAATATAGCGACATTTCTTGTCAATGCTTTGATCTTGAGATAGTTCCGGTCCTACAACAAGTTTTCCTATATCAATATCAATGTATGTGTATTCCCTCATGATATTACATGTCATTTTCGTAAATACAAATGTTAATATAGAAATACTACAGCAGATATGATAGAAGATTGCTGTAGAATGTTATTAAGTTTATCAAAAAACTAAAAAGAACTCGCGACATGTGTTAGGAAAAGTTCTACACTTTACATACAAACAAATTTGTAGAATTTACTAACATTGTTGAATACGATTGAAATCTTATTGAATATGGTCGAAAGTTATTGAATGTAGTTGCGCGAAGTTTAGTTAACATTACAGTTAACATCTACGAAAAGTTTGCGGAACCAGTTAACACTAACATCGTTGTATGTCTGCTTTCAGAGTTCGTGTCGAGTATTATGTGAACGAAAACACATTCAAGGAACGACTGCAATTGTACTTCATCAAGAATCAACGTTCAAGTGAGTTGATTACTTATATTTATGATAAATTATAATATCGTATTATTATACCTAGACATCTTACACAACTAGAGAGCTTTTATGGAAGATTGAAAGGTTTTATAAAAATCGATTGCTAGAATTTACATCGTCAATCATAAAAGTGTTAATTAAATTTATATTTGGAACACTTCCGTTCTGTCCTATATTTCCGCAATGAAACATTGTCGAGATACGATTGTCACAATTGCTGTAAAATTGTTTGCTGCAATTCATACATGATATCGTGCTGATGCATCGATACATTTAATATCGCATGTACATACACATATCACGTCTCATTGTAGGAGAGAGATCTGTTGTCATAAACTCGTATCTACAGTTCTATCTCACGCTATTTGATAGCATCGTTACATTCCGCACTACATTGTGACGACACGCGAGATACATAGCATTAGGATTAAAATATGTCACGCCTTTACCTATGTGCTTTTACCACGTGTTTCTAACTTTCCAAATTTGTCCATTGCTTGATTGACGACTGTACACGTAAAAAAACATAAGTGTCAGATCAATCTTTACACACTCAAATTAACGCGTTTATTCTTTTGTATGTAAGCAACGACCTATAATCTTCTTAAAAGCATTTAATAATCTCACATTCCAACAATATTACAGTCTTATTTAAACACTATAATTGTCACTTTAAGAATATATATGTATAATTATTTTGACAATAAAATCATTTTAATCATTATAAACTTCGATTTGAAAATATGTTATTTTCTAGCCAATATTGTTTCCTTTCCATGCAAGAAAATTATTCTTAAATAATAAGCTAATATTTTTTCTATTGAATTGCTATAAAATTGCTTTATTTAGTAAGTTTTTCTCCCTGTAACGCAATATAATCTCGTTCCAAGATTTTGACGTTGAGACTAAACATATTTTCAAAAGAAGAATATTCTTTTTTTCTGTGTAAACAGAATATTTTAAAATGTTACGTTTGATTGTTTAAATGAAATATAACGAGATGTAGAAACTAGAATATCTTCAATAAATGTAACGGTACAACTTTCGAGACAAATTTAACTGCATTGTCGTATCTTTGTTACATTTCTAACAAATTTGTCGCCGGAAATAGCCGGTTTGTCGTCAACGGTATTCCGGCTTGTTGCAACGCGGTCTCTATTGCTCTCTTTGGAAATAGCAAAGCCGTTCCAAAGGCAATCTTAAGAATATCGCCGCCATCATTTCCACGGATATTCTGAAAGAGCACGATTCTGCTCTTTCGGAGCTGTGATGGCGGTAACCGATAATAGATATTACGGTACCGTTACGAATTCTTTTTGCTGGTGTTGACCTTTGTACCTGACCTATGCATTAGGACGTCGTGAACCCAACAGGTCAACGCTTTGCTGCTCTTTGTGAAGTTTGTCGCGGGCAACTGGTTAAAGCATTTCGTTAAAACCACTCGAACGATCGATACTTGGCACAAGCTTAAACCAATCTTCAATCTAGCAATAAGTCGTATTAGTAAATCTTTATTTATTACGTAATTTTCCTTGGGCTTAAAGTAGTAAAACATGAGATATTTTCATTATAGATATATATGCTGTTTAAAAACTTATTCATTGAGAAGTGATCTTCTGTTATTTATTAAATTCTGTCGCACTAAAAAAATTCCCAATTAGAAACTTTCTTTGAATTAATTTTTTTATCTCACAGAACTTTGGAGACTTAAAATTACCAAATTTTAGGAAATTCAGAACATTTCGGGTTTATAACTAATTGCAAATAAGTTTATGGTGTTAATTTTATATGTATATTTTAAATAAGAGATACTCTGTATTAGATTTTACTTATGCTGAAAATATCGAAGAGAGAGAGAGAGAGAGAGAGAGAGAGAGAGAGAGATTGGCATTTTAAGAATATTTATATAAAAAGAAAACTGTTAAAAACTTTTTAAAATAATTTATTTATTGATAGAAAAAGTATAAAACGGGCATTTCAATTATCTTTAGACTCATTTATAATTTACAGTATAAATCTAATATATGTAGATCAAAGCGTATATTGCATTTTATTTTATTACCATTTATAAAAATGGAAAACGAAAAACTAATATGTGATATTATATATTTAATAAAAAAAAACAGAAAAACAAATTGAATTGAGTTACAACTGAGATGTAAATTAAGTGAAGCTGTAAAAGTCGTAACAAAGAAATTAAATTTATGTTTCAGGCTTAAGGATACGACTTGCCAATCTGTTCTTCAAGCTCTTAACATGCTTCCTGTATATATTCAGGGTTATTACCGACAACGATCCAACGTTTGCAGCATGGTAAGCTACATAAATAGTTTGAATAAGTTCTTTTTCAAGGAGAACCTAGAAATGAAAATTTTGTATCGAATTTTCGTTTGCGTTTGAATATTTCAAATATAAGCACAAATATTACAATAATACATATTTCCGACTTTATAGACTACATGAAAATTATTATTATCTATCAACACTACATTTATTGTTGTTTTAACATTTGTTATGCGGTTAATATTCGCTGCGGCATCGCTTCACTTATCTTACGCGAATAAACGAAAGAATATTTACGTACTTTACAGGTTGCCATTTTCTTTTGCATTAACTTCAAATAACAAATTACTTGACCGATGAAAAGTTATTAAGTATTTTAATTTTTACATTGTTGTTAAGGCTGCTGACGTTTCGTTATTTTTATTAAAAGTGGAAATACGTTTATGCTGGTGGAAGAATAAAAAATTCTAGAGAATAAAGGGAAATGTGGAAAATCTGGAATATCCTATGCCTGTAGCAACACGAATTGCAACCGACGCAATGCTGAAAATAAAGAAATTGCTTCATTTGGTTTCATTCCATTTCGTCGCCGACGGAACGATTTTCTGGAAAAATTTTATCTCCCTAGAAAGAAGCTCGCTCTAACGTGTGAGCAACGCGATATTCATGCACGATTACAATATTATGCAACATTCCTATCATGGCTCAGAATAAGATGCAGATAAGGCAGTACAACTAGTACGATGCGACGCGATGTTACTTGCATAGGTATACGAGAACGGCAATATTTCCGAGAATTTTACAATATTTCTTGAATAGTTTTAAATAAGGATTTTTTTTAATTTTCTAACAAATAATCATTATAAGACATAATTATAAGACATTATTAACTTTTATAATTAACACTTAAAAATTGTATAGATACGAAAACCCTCACTATCGCTCTTCTCGAAAATAATATTATTTGATAGACATGTAGAGATAACTTTTTAAATACCAATGGGGGGGATTAGATAATTTATTACTAATTTTAATAAGATTGTATAAGGTTCTACCTCTATTGTTAGATCTCTAGCGCATAAATTGCAAATTTTGTTTTAATTATACAATGGAGTTTTACTGTCTATTGATATTTTTTAAACAAAATTTATCGAAAGTTTTTAATATTCAAAATACTACCGTTGTTTAAGATTCTGATGAAATATCCGTTAAAGAGCTGTTGACTTGTAATTTTCTCAGGAAACTGTGACTAACAGCGGATCTCTCAGTAGAAGTATCTTATATATAAGTTTCATATATCAACGTAAACGTTTCGATAGAAAATACGTTCTTGATCGGCTGTATAAACTTTTTTCGGCATTCGATATTGCGTCATTTCTATTCTTTCCATGCGACGGTGATATTTGCGCGTATTCCCCAATGCGACCCAAACGACGTACTTGATATCGAAAACCTATCGAACTCGTCCGATTCGTGCACGCCAAATATCATGCGACAATCCGTCTCTCCCTATCCACACACTCATCCGTCACTTATAACCCTTCTCTCTCTATCTCTTCCCAGTTACGGTTGCACAGCCGGCAACAAGACCGAGTTTCTGGTGTCGCAGAACTTGACGGAGGAGGAGTTCCAGGAGCACCCGACCATCAATTGGGATGCGATCCTGTGGGTCAGAAGACCCTTAGAGCTGTGGGTTGTCCAAGTCATCTTGGCTATGGTGTCGTTAACTGAGGCTTTGCTGCTTGCCTACCTCGGTTACAAGGTACGTCATCCTTCCCTCTTGCAAATAAATTTCATTTTTATTACGATATTATATTTATTTTATTACGACTGCTGCCTGGGCACGCTCGTTATTTTATTGGCTTGTTCGTCGAAGAGTTTTATGATTTTTTACGATTGACATATTTCTCTTTTTCCTCCTCTCTCAGGATAATTACACTATGCTAGAAACGTAAAGCGTTTTTGAGAGGTTCTAATATATGTAAAATTACTTATTTAAATAACTACATATATCTGAGATTTAAAATAAGCTCTCACCTTCAAAATTTTGTCGAAAAAATTTCTTTTAAGCCTCACCGAAATATCGAATTTTTCTTAGGAACAAAATTTGCATTATGACTGTAGTTTATATCATATATTTTACTCTTAATTTAAATAATTAAATTAAAGATTACTAAGAAATTATATTTTACCAGTGAAGAATCATTTATACGCTTTTACATTCTAAAATTAATATTTTTGTTTAATAAATAGTTTCTATTGCGCCAATATAATCTATTAATAAATTTTTTTACTTTTATCTTTTATATAATTTTTCTTTTACACTCAAAAAACAGTATTTTTAAGAGACATCTTTGTAATTAACAGTTAAAAGATAATTTTCTATAATATGATAAAACTCTTCTTACACAGTTTATTTTTGTGCAATATGAAGGTATTAAAAATATCATATTTTATAATTAGTTAATTAATAAGTATATTGTCGTATTTTATGATGTATCTACTTTCATCGAGTATCTGCTGCATAATTTTGCATGAGTAAGTATGCGCTTCGTCAGATTCGCTACGCTCCTTCGTCGTTCTGCAATTTCTAAAATAAATTTAAACTACATATAAAATAAAACGAAACTTTCCATCTTCATAAGCAAATTGAAGAGTGAACGTTAATATGTGACTTACTCATTCAGAGCGGATGGTTTATGGTTCAATGATTAAGTGCTTTAAATCGGCTGAATACGTCGTATTGCGAGATTGACGTGCAATGCAAGTTATTTGCTTCCATGATTTATTCGTTCGGCAAAGGAACCAACTTTTGCCTCAACTCGCCTTGAATTATATACAGAGGGACTACTTTCGAATTAAAAAGTTCACAGAAAATTAATCAGTAGAACGACAAGATGTTTTTGGTTGGTTAAACTTTTTTGATCGGTTCTTATTTTTCAAAATTTCTTTTTTTAAACTTGAAAATATTTATAATAGTATACTTTTACAATTACGACTGGTGAAATAAAACTGATTAAACATAAGCAGTTCTTTTCCAGCTGATTATTTTATTTTAGTTACCGAAAATAATGTGAAAAATGTTTGAAAAGAACAATATTTCATAGTAAAAATGTAGTTTAAAAGTATTCTTACTAGTTAATAAATTTTATATTCTTCTTACTATGTATATTTTGAGTGAAGTATAAAGAAATTCTTTTACTTTGCAAATAAAATCTTTGAATGTGATGTTTGATGCTTTTGCATCCTAGGATGCAGGAATACTAGGATTAGCTTCCAGGTTAAAAATCTTTGAATATTTTCTGTAAATTAATTACTTTAAGGTTGAAAAAAGATGACTTATAAAAAGTAGAATTATTGTTAAAGGATCATTTGATCTTACTGCAGCGATAAATTTTCACGCGTGCAAAATTCGCGATATAATCTGCAACGGTCTGTAGCAAGTTCATCACGCTATTCGCTAATCGAGCATTCCGGTGATAAGCCGATAATATTACATCAATAACGTACGGGCATGTTATAATCAAATGTGCCGTTACTAAAGTTTATAACGTAATATCCTCCGGTTGCTACGTAACTTAAATTGCATTTTAATAAAAGATCCCCGTTTCGGATTTCTTTAGAGTTATAATGCTGATATTTTATCCAAAAGATTTATCTCAGAATACTCTCTGTAGTTATTACACAATACATCACGAGAAATGTCTGTGTGATTTTTCAATATGCTCATGAAAATTAGATTTTTCTCGTATTGTGTATCTCATTGTTTTACATTGCGTATCTTGTTTCAAGATAGACATGAGAATAACAATAGCAATATACGTACTACACAAAATAATACTGTTTCAGAACGATTTTAGATATAAGAATAAATAATTAGTACAACGTTCGTTATAATTTTTTGTACACAATTTTCTTCACGAACGTCTCAACTCTGTCGTTATCAATGGTTACGTATCGCAGAATTTATATTCTGCGATACGTAATAATCAAATTCACCGTCGATGGCCACGTATAGCAGAAAAATCTACTTTGCAACTGTTGTAAAATTCGTGAATGGACTATGTTCTTAGATTCTGCCATAACTAAGAGTATACGCCAATCAGATTCAAGATTTGTACAACAGTTGCGAAGCAGCTTTTTCTGCCAAACGCAGCCATTAGTGCTCGAACACGCGCGCATATTTAGAAACGTCACCTACTTAAGAAACGCGCCGATTTCGAACCTAATAACATTTTATGGAATGTTATTGTTTTAAAACGAGACTGAAACTATTATAATTATATTGATTTATTTAATTGAAATTCTCATTAAAATTCTAATTTAGATTTTTAGATGTGATCAATGTGATTATGGTTATACAAAAATATTATTTCATGTTTTGCATAAAATAATGTACGTTAACATATATAATGAAAATAAGGATTATGAAATGTTTGAAATAATTAAAACAATAGATTTTAATATGTTAACGAACTGTCAGTCTTTTAGAATACTCCGATCGTCGAAGTCTCCGGCAGACGCGTCGATTGTTGAAATCTCTGTATAGTAGCTGTAAAAATGATACTTAATAGAATATTAATCCTGTTATGTTTTATTTGATATCAAGACAGCGTAGATATTTGATAATTTTAGCAAAATTGTCTACGTCTTTAAATATTAGTATTGTTATTATTTGACACTTTTAATAAAATTGTCTCTAAATATTGGCATTGTTTTTGATAATTAAAAAGAAACTCTTGCGAGAAACGTCAGTGTGTGAAAGGTATCGCTCTTTTCTACCACAAAAACAACCAACAATAGGTAGTAGTATTGATATTCTATTAAATTGTAGCCTTCGGTGTCGCACCAGCGTGCGGTTACTGATGTTGCGGTTACGGAAGCCATCTTGAGTTGACAGCGGCAGAGGCGCTTTGCAAAATCGCATCAAGCACCCCTGTTTGTGAGTTTAGTCGCGACTTGCGGTGCGGTTCGGTGTCGAAGCTCCTTCGGAATCTGCCGGATACCGAAATTAGCGAGGTAACACGTGGATGTGATGCATCTGCGCGATGCATTCGTCGGAGTGTCGTGTATAATCATGGCATAAGTTCGTCGTTCCAAACGGAATGAACATAATTTTATAACTAATGATCATCGAACATTGCACTTTTATGCGGATCGACGCGAACGTGCGCCTTCGATCGTTCCTCATTCTTGTCGAAGGTGTTTCCGCCCGTCACTTTGGATTTGCAAAATTCTAGAGACTCCTCTTATCGGATTTCGGGAGGAAACGAAAACGTCGCAGAAATGGAATCTAAAGAAAGAGTCGTTAGTTGCATGGCTACGTTCAGGATAATTCCAGCTCTTTGCGGCGAATTAAACATTTGAAGCTAAGCATTGTACGAAACTATTCCGGATTCATTTTACTAAAAGCAGCAGGTTTGAAAAGTATTAAGTCTAACGAGGAGATGAAACTAGAAGGCTGGAAACTATATCGATAAAATAGAGATTCTTAAAAGAAAATGTGATTTGAAAGCATTTAATAAACAATTAAACATTATCGATTTTTATTTTTTGAATTTCATTAATTTTATAGAAAATGTTTACAAGGTGTTTGTCGTTGAAGTTCTTGTACACCTTCTTTCCGTTTGAAAATCATGTGGAATATAATTAGAATTAATAATAAAAATTGCAGTGAATAATAAAAAAATTTTACGATGTAAAAATTAAATAAAATGTTAGATCTTGGAAGATATAAAAATCTAAATATACTCTGTTCTTAAGTTTTATAAAAGCGGTGAAGATTTTATTGAAACTAAATGTTACAAGTATTTTTGAGAAAATGCTAAACTATTAAAAGTATTTTTTTCGAGGATCGTATTATTAAATTTGTGTCTCAAAGAACATTTTCGCTATGTATATGTACCGTTTATTGATAATCTTTATAAGACGGCAAAGTGTATTCAGAGAGAAAGAGAGTTTGGAACCTCAGTCTGTTTTTGTGTTGACGTACTTCCTTAAATTGCGTTTGCCGTCGTAACCGCCAGTTTGTAAATCCCGGAAGCGGATATTAATAGTCATGGAGTTCTCGAAAAAGTTCATCCGGTTATCGTCTGGATGCAGCCTCTGTGGAGCTTTAAGCTGCGTTATTGCCTCGATGAATATAGAAAAAAAGAAGGGTGATTCCTCCACAGAGACTCTCTCCATTAAGAGATGAATCCCATGAGCATGGCTGTTGCGTGGCCAATTTCTTTCCAGAATGACGATCATTTTTCTGATGAAAATAAGACCACATGGAAAAATAGTGCGAAGAATTTATAAGAATCTTGTTATAAAAGAACAAAAGAATAATAACAGGATTAGATAACAATATTGGAGGTGAAAAAGCATACTACGGTTAATAATTATAATAAGTAACACAAAGAGAAGTCAAATTGTATGTCCAAATTCTGTTAATATAATTAGAGTTAAAATTAATTTTCTCAGTTAAAGTTTTCTTTGAAAAAAAAATCGATAATTTTTAATTACAGTTGTACATCTATAACTAAAAATAAAAATTTTGTATTAAGATCAATTAGATATTAAAACGTATATTTCGATTAATAGGAAATAATTTTTGTATTGTTCTTTGTTAATTAGAATTATTGAAAAGATATACAACATTTTACTCGAGTATCTTTTATACTTTCTTAACTTTAATGTATAATAAGCTTATATTTATCAATATGGCAAACTGCCAAATAAAAAGATTTACCTTCACTTTGCGTTATGTGTAAAAATATAGGAAAACCTTGTAAAAGGCCAATATGTCACATCAAAAGAAAAGCGTTGGCAAACGCCGCTAGTGCAAAATTTATGTTTTCCTCGAGGTTCTTTACTCGCGCACCTTTGTCTTGAGGTGGCTTTGTGATGTAGGTGATTATACATCTGGAAGTCGATTCACATTGAAATCAATAGGGCGCAACTTGTACAAAGTAGATTGTTCGAGATCTAAGAAAATTATTTTTCGTTGATTCTATCGCATTAAAAAGTCAATAAATAAACAAAATTCGTAATTTTATTATAAAACTTATGTAATTACATGTATAAAACATGTAATTACAATGTATGAAATAATGTAATGTATGTCAATTGTGTCGAATTTTTTATTGACAACTTTTAGAAGAAAAATTGCACTGTGTCAAACTAATAATTTTATTTCTAAGCAAAGTTAAGAGATATTATCAATAGGTATCTATTGCAAAGCCATTTATATGTTTTTAGTTCTTCATTGTTATACAGAGACAAGTGTGTTATTAAATTAAAAAAGTGCTAATTGAGTTTGTTGTTTAAGGATTAATTAGACAAAGTTAATCGAATGCGCGTTAGAAAATCCAAGTCAAGCTTATCGTCATAAAAGGGAAAACAGATGTGCATGAGCCGCATATAAATGAAAGTTTATCCACTCGGTGGTCGGAAATTCGAAGGAACCCCTAGTCAGAATACATCGGCAGATCCTCTCGTAATCGTTTCCACGAGATCGACAAAATCGCTTGGGGTGCAAACACACGAATCTATATGTCGGTTCATCAGACACGCTTTTCCAAAGGAATTTCAGCTCGCTGTAAAGCTAAGGTGAAGGATTTGCAACGAAGGCACGTGAGAGCCCTTTAGACTTGGATAATCCGATACAGGTGACATGTATCTCGCCCAGGGATTTTTCGTTATAAATTTTTCACATCGAATAAAAAGGGTCGTACAGGATAAGAGCAGGATCAATGATCGTTTAAGGTACTTTTCTCAGTGTTGGCCTAATTGTATCTACGGGCTGCGTCGCTCCCGGGCGTTTACGAATTTGCCATTCCGCCTGCAGTAATTCAAATGTTAAAAAATTTTATATTGAGACATAATACGAAAAGCTGACCATTTGATTAAGGTGCATCGAGAAAAATATATAAGTACTTTGCGTAGCAATGTATAAAGTAATCTAACATGTTAAAAAATTTAAAGTATGAAAAATTACCAAAAATTAATGAAAATTTACTAAAAACGGTAGGCCATTCATCATTAAACTGTAATACAGTTATAATAGTAACTATTATAAATTAAATTTCAAATTCTTTTATACTCAATAGTATAATATATGTATAAATATTATATTATTCAGACGTACCATCTCTTCTTCCTCTGAAATTCAATAACTCGAAGAAATGGGGAAAAATATCAATAAAATAAAATTTATTGCAGGCTTATTTCTTATTGAAATGAATTTGACGATGACAATTCTAAATGTTAGCTAAGTTAATAATTTAATTTGAACGTGATAAATAAAAGCACTGATCTAATAAAATAGAAAGAAAATTTCTAAGTAACATTGTCATAAAATTCATACATTTATTATATGTATAACCAGTATCGCTATTTAAGACGCTGAAGGCAGAACTTAACGTATATTCTGCCTACATCGTGAAGTTGCATTATAGTATATACACTGTTGATTGCTGTTGAATATTCCGTGATAAAACGAGATGGTAATTAGGAAGTATTTCAAGACGTGGCATTATTTAGGACGTTCGCATAAATGAATACTGTTAAAAAATTATTTGTGCTGGTTGAATTTCTTAAGTTGTGATCTACGATAGACTTTTCAAACTATGTTACATTTTACACATAGCAGAATGCGAAAATATAATATAATAATACATTGAATTAATGTATTATATTAATGTGCGATACAACTGCGTGGACGACATTATAATAGATTGCAAATTTTAAAGAGACTTGAGAAGAATAACATGCTAGTTTAATAAGGTAACTGATTTAATTTATTTCTTTTTTTTCCTGTAAGAAGATAATGTTGTAAGTATCTTTATATAAATTAGGTTTCCTGTCCTAAATGAGGACCTATTTCCTATGAATGCGAAACTTTTATCGGGATAAAAAGTCAGTTGTTAACATCAAAGAGACGCATATAATACGATGAAAGGTCGTGGTTTGAGCAAAAATGCGCGTCACGTTCTCGGCAAGAGATGTACATCGAGTAAGTCCAGCGAGTTCAACGATGAGACGAAGAAGTTTCTGATCTGATTACGCACGTATTCACCCCTTCTGTCTCACGATTAAAGTTAATTACTGCTGGCGCTGATGCGGCAAATGATATTTTTTATGAAGCAATCTAGAAGATATAATTTCCGATTAATCCTCTCGACTGCAATTTCCTGCGCTCTTATACTCCGCGCGCCGTGATTTAAACGATCGTAGAAATCGTTTTGGCGATTAAATAAAGTATTGAATACAAAGTTTCAATAAAAATAATCATAATTAAATTAATCAACGTTTTGTCTATTTTCACTGATTAATATATGATTAAACGTATAAAATAATACGGATATAAAATATGTAGCTTTGTTTATACATTTTTTAATTACAAAATTATAAAATTGTTCTAAAAAATTTGATATTTATTGATTCGATTAAATAAACTATATTGTACAATTAACTTTTTGTTAATTGTACGAGATAATTTATAATAATAAATATAAATAAAAAATAATTTTAATATCGGTGAACATTTGTTGCAAAGAGATCTCTTAATTTCCTAAATCTGTTAAATTTATTAGTGCATATTTGTCTTCATAATATTAACAAAATTGTTTTAGAAAATACAGAACAGCGAAGCGCATGTTTACTTTTGAAATGTTATTCACAGTTCCTACTTTGATAAAATTGTCGCTGGGTGTGTTGAGCTGTCTTCGTAATGTTCACAGGGAAATGTCTGGCAGCAGCTTCTGTCCTTCCATTTCATCCTGGAACTGGTCAACACGATCCCGTTCACAATCACGGTAAGTTCGTAAAAGAATTATAAGCTCTCTATTTTTAGCTTTTTTTTTACAAAAAAGTACTTTGTTAACGATAGATTTCTGTGCGCATTCTTTTAGTATTTATGGCATAATTTATTTAATCGTTTGTACAAACTTCGTAAAATTATTGATTTTAAAGTACATTCAAGAAACATGTATTAAATTAATTATACCTAATTTATCCAAAGTGATAACCGAATTGTCTAGTTTCTGTGATTGCCTGCAATTATTTGTTTCTAATATACTTGTTTTTTAAATGATTTATTTATCGATAGATAGAGATACTAAAAAATCCTAAATAATACACAATTTTATAGGTGAAAATTAAGATGTTGACACGAAAGTACAATAAATGTTTTTAAATGTAGTATACATGTTAAACATAAACCGCACTTAGCGTGAAAATATACGAACATTGTTCGCGTCAAGTTGCATACGCCTGACTATAATGTATCGATTTTTACATGTCCCATAGGGAATAACCTTTATCTCACAGTGGACAATACGTAACGACATTACGTGCACGGTTATTGCGCTTTGGAATTTAATTAACTTAACCTCATTAATTTTGGATTATGCGGTGTCGTTTATGTAGCGTGTAAACTGGATACGCAAGTTCCTAGTTTTACATCTATTTATGAACATCTCGTACCATAGAAATGTGAAAAACGCAGTTATAAAAAGAACTGAAGTAATTCTAAACATTCTAAAATAGCAATCGAAGAACAAATATTAATTAACTTTACATTACATTATTATTGTTTATTTAATTTATGTTATTAAAAAGATAACAACGTTGATCGATTGTGTTTCTTTGTTTGACATGTATTTATAGAAAAATAATAAAATATCTCGAAAAACCTATTTTCGCAAAAGTTAATAAGCTCATCTCATAATTTCTTAAATTTTTATCTTTAATTTTATGTCTTTTTGTGAATTTTAAATTATAAACAGAAGGTATAAAGTATGAAATAAAGGAATTGAATTACCTGCGATATAAATATAAAGAGAAAATGTGATGAGAAAAATGTTTCAACGATGTATATTCAAACTTGTATTAACGATATATGTAATGAGAGATACAACATTTTAAAGTTATAGTAGATTTTCATTAAAACCAGTGCGCATGCTAAAGTTTAATATTCAAACGTGTGCTCTGTCGTCTAGTATGATGTAGGTCTTTGATGCTACAAAGCAAGCACAATGAGCAAATTCATGTTCAAACCAAACAGCCAGTTGATATTTACATTATAAATATGCAACTGCCAAATAACAGACGTAGTATTTATGGTCACATACACCTTGCAAATCGCAGCACAAATGCTTGTCTAACTAACGAGAGTCAATTATTATGACCTAAGAAACTCAAACAACAAACGTTTCCCAAAAAGTGTACAAAGAGACGAGATTTCACAATTGTTAGAAGAAGAATCTAAGCACACGCACGATCGACAAATATAATTTTAATATCCTAATTTATTAAATATACATAATAATTAAACTTATTTTTTTAATAAATAATTTATTAACTCAAAAGCATATTATGCCTTAATTAAACCGACTAAATTAAAAGCCATTTTCTTGAGAAACTAGAACATGGCTGAATTCCCTGAAACTAATTAAATGCGTAATAAATTTATAAACCATTGAAAATGCAGGGTGTTAATTATAATTTATGACGAAAAAGTATTCTACTATACATATAAATGTCAGGTGACAGATGATATAATTGAAGATATTTCTACGTTTGCAGTTATTATACCCACCCATGAGAAATCTGTTCATTCCGGTGTTCCTAAATTGTTGGTTGGCAAAGCACTCCTTGGAAAATATGTTCGTAAGTACCTCATCCAAACTAGCTCCGTAACTTATGTTAAGCTTAAATTTGATTCGTGGTCAACGTTAATTACATTTTCAGAACGACCTGCACCGGGCAATGCAGAAATCCCAATCGGCATTAAGTCAACAACTGATGATCCTTAGTGCTACGTTACTGTGCCTTGTCTTTACTAGGTGAGTGCTTTCGAAAACTTTTTAAACCGATATTTATTCTTATTTATAATATATTTATAATATTTATCCCACGTTCGTACTCTCTCGCTAAAAAAAGATTTAAAATATTATAATATTTTACTTCTTTAATGTAATACACATAATAAAATATAAATAATATAATTTTCAACTGGAAACTAAACTTTTTCGTTTTAATATATTTTTGTAATAATACATTTTTCTTAATTACTTCAACTTGGCATATTTTGGACATCGTGAATGTTTCGAAACTACGTATATTATAATTAACAGAGATAATTGTTCGTGAATAGACTTGCGAAGTAAGTTCGTATTGCTCGCTTTGTCCTACTTACTCGTTCATCAAAGATACATTTCTAGCAGAATGGCCTAAGTTTCCGGAAAGGGTATTCCTATTTTAGGAAGAACTAAGACTGCTTTAATATTCTTGAATTTCTCGTCAGTCGTTATTGTGAGTAAAAAAAGTGCCATGAAATTTTCTAAAATAAATTATGAATTTTGAGATTGTATATATAATACATAGCAAAAATACATATTTTTAAACATTGTTTAACATTGTGTATACATAAAATGTAGAAATATATACAATATAAGAAACAATGATAATTGCAATCATCATATCAAGCTGAAAATTGTTGGATAAATGTCAACTGTTGGGTTAATTATTGGACAATAACCACGAGTATTATAATATTTTAATTATCGGTAGATTAAAAAAAAATGGCATTATTATATAGGCATATGTTCATGTAAATATCACTTTCGCGTGTATATGTATATACATACATACATATATGTACCTATATATGTATATAAATGAACAAAAATAAACCACGTGACGATCAACATTATCTGCTTCACTGTAGATCAAATGATTTATGGTGAATTGTCGCGTGCGACAATTTCCTATTTATTTCAATATGTTTTATTTGTTCCACTTATCATCACGCGAATCTGAATCAGCAGCAAATCTTTCTTTTACAAGTTTCAACGAAATAATTAAAACGTATGAGACAATTCTCGTCGCTAGGGAAATATAAATGTTAAATCTTTATCTCCACGCACTAATTAATAATATTACGATTTAGAAAATATTATTAATATAATAAAAATTGTTTTATCAACAAACAACTATTTTAAAAACCATTTGCACTTTGATATAAGATTATCCTGTAGATTTGATTTTTATATTTGACTCATTACTAATTGTTTCTACTTTGTTTTAATTTGTCGAAATTAAATTAACGTGTGTTCAAATTAAGAGAAACAAACGAAACAAAAACTTTTGGCAGTATGTTAAAATAATACAAAATATTATGTCGTTTCCTCAAGATTGATTTAAGGCAAAGAGTTTACAACGACATCTTACATGTAAACAATCGTGAATTGATATTCGTAATGGACTGAGTCGTGACACAGCTATAATGACGTTTCTATCATGGCATTCGCGCGTTATTTAAGTTTACATAACGAACGTATTTCATTTGTCGGCGTGAGGGACTTATTGTATTATCCGAATAACGAGAAAAGTTTCCCAGCCGGAATACGAGTTCCTATTTACGAATCCAAGTCGTGGATGACTGCGGTTCATCTTGTTTAATCTTCTAATAAAGTTGTATCTGTAAACGACGACGGCGCAGTGAAGGCTTAGATTGCGGAAATAAATGAATAGTATGCATATATGATCTTTGCTATTTTCTCTAGATTACAAACACTTATTTAATTTGAGTGTGTTTTTATTTAGTAAAGTGACATAATCTAAAATAAAAAATATCAAAGTAAAATAATACAAAAACAAAAATCAAAAAGCAACGTAGAAAGAAACAGAGGGGGGGAATAAGTACTGTAAAGTGTTAATTAGTTAATTAATTTTATTAATTCATTTTTTCGCGAGAAAATATAATTAAATTAGGACATATGTTTAATTAAATTCAGATAATATCTTTTATTATCTCCTTATGTTATTTCATAAATGTGAAAATTTAATAACCATACAGAGAGATTTACAATTTAATATATTTATGGCAAATATTAAAATTAATTAATAAATATATTAACGCGTATACCGATTTATATTAATATTTAAGAATTTTAAGAATTATATATTTTTTTTATGTGTCGTTCTATGGCGAGAATAAAAAGTCGCGATGAGCAATTTGCAGCGTGAAAAAATATGATTTGGCTGGAAAAATTCGCCACGGGTTACCAAAAATTGATATCGACTATGCAGGTGCGAAAAAAAAACAAACGCCTGTCATACGCAGATGGTGGAATTTATAACATCAATCGTCATCGCGTATTGACGTGAAAGTTGCAAACCGCGGATAATTTGCAGCTGCCGCTTTTTACGATATGAAAAAAATTTTCTGTGAAAGTTTAAATACACGCTTTTGAATACATAATGAATTGCGTCGTAACTATGAAAAAAATAACGATTCGTCACACGCAGCCAGTATAGTTTGCAATAATCGTTAGAGTTTTATCTCACACAGTTTACCTTAGGACATTAAGACATACTATTTTGTGATGTGCTCACGAATTATTTTGCACTGTGCAATCTTGCAATTCTGGAAAATAAACTGTAGTTCTTCTTTCGATACCTAAAATTATTTAAGAAAAGTAGAATTATTTATGACACATATTAGTAACTAATTTTTAATAATTATATTTAAAAGAAAAATTATAAAATTAACAGAAGTCAAGAGGTTTACAAAGAACCGAATTCATAAGATAAAGATAGTTAACAGACTATGGAACTTAATAAATAATCATGCATGTATATTAAAAAACAGTATAATTGTTAAGAGACAAGACGAGAACGTCTTAAATTGGTCGTTAGATGATATAAAAAACCATGTTGCGCATATATAATACGTATATATATTTTTTAATGCGGTTTTATGAAAAATGAAGGGACAAAGTGCATGGATCTATCTTGGCAAATCGATTTCAAACGATTTTAACATATGGAGACGAGAAAATCATTGCAACCGGCAGCTGTCCTACAATGTTAGGGACGAGTGAGGAAATGACGAAATACGTCTGATCGACCCAGATCGCAATGTGGGACAGGCGTTAATAAATAATCGCACCCCCCCGGCTTGTGCAGATGGATTGGTATCACCATCGATCGCGACGCTTTATTATTTACGGTGTGATTCTAGAGCGGCGCACTTGCCAGCTCGCCCTTGCTCGGCTGTATTATCTACGACAAGGACAAGGAGCGAAGTATAGCACATCGCGACGATACAATGAATCTGCGTCGCGGTGCATTGAAAAAGTCGTCGCACTTGCAGCCAAGATGCAAAGAAATAGCTAGAGAAAGAATCGAGTGATGCCATGATTATTGGAAGGAACATTTAAGTATTACTGCTTATTAGAAGTGAAGAAAAATCAATTTAAACGTTTCTTCGTAATATAACGCAACCTAATGTATTAATTTTCCGTCTTTTGACATTGTTAAGCTATTAATGTGTTTATTAATTTTTTTAACTTAATTTTAGAGAAAAGGAGAGAAAGAAAGATTTACGTTATTACATATTATACATATATCATTTGTTTATCATTGAATATCTATCACTAAAGTGACTGTAATCGCAGGGACTCACGCAATCTTTGAAATGTTTAACTATTGCTTACGTTAGCGAACGAGTAGCTTGACTTTCGACGTAGTATATATGATAAGCGCTATAGTTTCACTTGCTCGCTATGTGCTATCGTATCTGCAGGTTTAATCACCGACCAGCCTCACATATAGGTAGCTGGCCACTTTGTGACTAATTTTTATAAATTCTGTACTTTTTAAGTCTTAAATTATCCTGTAACATTTCCGAAATAGATTCTATTAGCAAATTGGTACAAACTAACAGCGAGACTAGCGTGTCGTTGACTATGTATACAGAGAAAATATCACGCCAGTGATCTTTACGGGTGAAAATTCTACTCCCATCTTTGTGTACATACATTTCATTATTCCTAATCATATGTAAGTTACACTTTTCGCAGCTTTGACTTTTTGCTATTGTAATACTTGTTATTTAACGAAACACTTTATATTAAGTAGCTTTTTCTAATATAACGTCTAACTTTAATGTTATTAATCTAACTTTAGTTATCTTCATGCAAACATTAGAGAATTTAAATTTCTAATGAACCACACTTTGGTGACATGGTACTATCATAGGAGGTAGTCAACATGTTGAAGGTGTAAATATTTAGATCATATTTACACGAGAGGTTTACGCATTACTTATTAATTATTATTACGATTAAGCAGAGATTATTGCGAATAAACAGAAATTATCTGGATAACTGTTCATTACTGGAATATCTGTTTACATGAATATAAGCTTCCTTCACAGAACAGGCAATCAATTGCATTAATTTGCATGCACGTCAAGCACATAGAGTTACAACATTTGTAACTGTGAAATCAAAATAACGTGTTCATCTTCTTAATAAGTAATATTACTGTTCCCTCAGAATCGTTTTAGAAACTAAAATCGTGTAGACGTGTAGATGCTTAAAAATTATCCAAAGTTGCCCCGAGTTCTTCATTAATTTAAAACTTTAGTATTAATTTAAAAAGTTATATTACATTTGTAATATAACTTTTTAAATTAATATATATTACATTTGTAAGATCTTTAAAATCTTCTACTTTCTCAACGAAATTTAAAAATTTATTCTGTTGAAATAAAGTAAAGCTTTGAAACACAATTTTTAACGACTCTCTTTTAATGGACAGTGAAGAATCTGTCTCGATTACGGCGCTTGTTTCCATGAAATAATGTTCGATTGAATTGAAACCGTCACGTACACACGGACGAGATTCGTTAGTGAAAACGTTGCTAACAAACCACGGCGCTTGGATAGGGAACAATGAAAATTTTAACGAAAACGCCTGACTTTATTATCCGTTCGTACGCGAAAACGCGGCGAATTGACGTGTAGAGATGTTGAAGATAAAACGAAGGTTTTACTCTCACCGTCATACGTTTCTCGCGCTTTCGGCGCTTTTCACGGGAATCGTCACGCGAATTTTGAAAACACACATGCTTAATTCTTTTAAATAATTATGACTATAAAATTGTGTAATTTCTATAACACATTTATTAATTAATCCGTTTATTGAATTTTTATAAATTTATAATTATGGAGTTTAATTACTAAGATAAATTTTTAATCTTATTAAAATACATCCCCCGTAGAATGAGGGAATAACAATATTAAATAAATGTTTTTCGTGGAAAATATATTAATACTTTTAAATAAATCGAATTTAAACCAACATTATTATTGCAATAATTGAATACTGTTCAGTGGAGAGCAGATAGCTACAGACGTCACATTAATGGACACTGCAGAATTTCATAATAATAATAAAACAGAAAATAATATTTTTTTCAGTTTATATTGATAAACGACAAAGATTGATAATTATGAAATAATGGTGATTTATTGTGTAACTATAAATTTATTGCATATTTATGAAATTGTATTTTTAACAAGTGGCAAAAGTTGCAAGTCAATTTGATCATGCATAAAACATGTTTGCAATGAAATAGGCTGTGTATTTACGATACTACATACGGTATTTAGTGTACTGGTGAAATATATGAAATAGCATCGATCTATTTGTTGCTAATTAACGTACGATGGGGCACGCCGGACTGTCACGATACGTCGAACGGAAGCACGATGATACGATGGTGCAAGTGGATAAAGGAAGGGAGGAAAAATGAACAAGGTGCACAAATATATACGTCGATATAGATATAGAAATGGGGCCGCATGCATAATGGATATCGGGCCGTTTATAAACGCCGGCCGGTTTATACTAGGCGATGGTTTCTTCACAATCGGGTTCAATCTCTTCCTTTCTTGCGCCGTTACATCAATCCCGTTACGATCAAAGAATGATCTAGAGTGCCGTTTTATCTCACTTTGAGTGGCCAGGCTAATTGTGCATTCGTCTCGTTACGGCCGAGAGATTGCCGATGTAAAGAAAGCTGCTCTTCGGCGAGTAATATAAATCTGCTCAAATCGAAAGTCGACATCGAATTCATTAAGAAGCAACCGAAATTCGTTACGTTAATTTCGATTGGTTTTTATAAATCTGCGAATAGTCATACGCTAATTGATAAAGGGACAAACATTTACCAATAAAGGTTTTGTTGGTACAAAATAAACAACGGAACAAATTGTTACTTACAAAATACATATTCAAGTGTTTGGTGATAAAAATTTGTTAGATACATGGAACATATATTTAAAACATGGCACTTTTAATTTGATTTAAAATTCTATTACTAAAACGTATATGTAATAATTATCGCATATTAGAAAGTTGAAGGAGATGTCTATTGTATCTGTTATATCGAAAAATATAGTTTGCAGAAATCTCTAAACATATTGTATCCGGACAATAATACTCGAACTTCTAAAATGTATTATTTCGCAATTACAACGATAACAGAAGACAATTACCTTGAAATCGTTAAGGGCTCAAATGACGACATGTGTAGACGTACATGCTCTCAAGTGAATGGCTATAAACTCCCGATTCTCAATGGCTTGCAATTTAAATGCAGGCGTCATCGTCTGCAATGCGACGCGACTATAGAAACTGTAAATTACGTTAGTAGCATACAGTTATAAACGACGTAGATTTACGTCGGCCGCATGTAAAATGACTACAACTGTCCCGACTATTTGTTTTCGTGGTCATCAACGATTAATCGTAGGGGCGATCCAATGAATTTTCCGTTTCAGCGTATGCGGGATCCAGCACTTCCAGAGAGCGGGGCACAGGCATTTGAATCTATTTCAAAGTACATACTACGTTGTAGTAACATTCTCCACGGTGGGCTACGGGGATTTCGTGCCAGACATTTGGCCTTCGCAACTTTACATGGTCATTATGATCTGCGTGGCTCTTATAGTGTTACCAACACAGGTACGTGTACATCGCGTATTTATAAAAATTAATACACATTTCGTAGATATTTTACAACTTTTAAACATATATATATACATACATATAAATTTTAATATGTTTTGATATATTTGTATTTTCAAGTGGAATAGATTGATAAAAGATATGTATTACAATTAGCTTACAGAGTTTTAATTTCTTCAATCTTCTGGGCTTACGTCTTTTAATATTAATAAACTAGATCAAAAAGGATATTAATTAAATCTAATTTAATTTGTTTGTCTATGATATGTTAATTAAGTCTTATTTTATTGAGTGATTTGAAAACGTAAAAGGCGCTGCGAAAATATACGTACGTAGTGCGTATAGTATAGACTTGAAAAAGTCTAAATGCATAAACAATATCCATTGCTGGTTATATCAATACAATGATGTTCTGCAAAGAAGCTATGTGTGTTCTTAAAAAGTACGCGTGAAGGTGTAGCGTTGCACTAAACTTGTATTCATCTCGTTTAATGTGCGTCAGTTGTGGCCGTTACAGTGATGTTCGCCTCATGGACTTCTTTTATAGACGTTATTTTCAAGTCACGCCGTAGGGAAGCCGTAAATGTACCGAAACAAGACTCGTCTTACCGACTATATTGCCGCGCAGTTGACCCTTGTCGTTTCACGAATATTTATTATTCCGGTCGTTAGGGGCATAACACTTTTATTTCTTATGAACGAGAAATGTGCGTCGAGCAGAGATTAAATCCCATGCATGCTTTTACATCATCGTAAAAAGAAGATTAATTCTGCAAACAAAATATCCAGTATACACAAAATTTTTATTATTAAAGTATGATAATTAGAAGAGAAAAGATAACAAATTTGTTTTTCACTTCTTTTAATTGAAACTTTAGTGAGATCACAATCACTTTATATATCGACAGCACCAATGTTGTTCATATTGTTTAGTCCCTTAAGATTTTGGGATTGAAACGCAAGAAAAGATAGGGCTATTGATTTAATAACTGCACGTGCTAACAAACTGTATTCTCCAGGATGCGCGTTACCATGACAACTTTTCTTTTGCAATTGATTATTGTAGATACCAAGGAAACTTTATGTTATGAGCCTCTCACATTACCGCACGACGAAGTCTCGTTAGGGATGTTACCCGCGAATATTACTTCACATCGTGTTATATATCGTGCGTTATATAAGAAATCGTGAAGATACTTTCTTTGCAACTTTAATATATTACGATCTTACTAGCAAAAGCTTCTTTTCACATAAAAGAATAAATAAAAGTGAAACGATATTTAAAATCTTTAAAAGTTTATAGAAATATATGAAAAGAGATGTAAAACAATCTCACGGATACTCAAATATTCGATTTAACGATTAATTGTTGAATTGATTTAGCGCTTAACGAGAATTCGATCGACCAAAGAATAATATTATTAATTGCACAAAGCGACAAGAGCAACTCGTGTCTACTCATTGTCTATCGGCGTCGACTGATTGCGCAGCGCTCAACGCGGAAAGCCTCGTCGATCGCTGTAATTTGTCTGTCAGATTGCCTGCCAATCGCACACGAAATACGTGCCAATTCGTATGGGATAACACGATGTGTCAACCCCCCCCCCCCCTGCTCTTCGAGTCTGTCCCTTGCGTTTCCGCATTCGATTAAATTCGATTTTGGACGATGGAGTCGCATCACTGTCGAGATAGCGTAGACGAAAATATTCAACGCGAAAGCCCGTATCTTTGCAGGAGTGAAGCAATCCTGTCTCATTAGTTCTCGAGTGATGAAATTTGATGAGGGCAATATAAAATTTTCAAGTAAAAGTGCATAAAATGTGAGAGACGACAAAAAGAAATACTACTGCACTAAGGTTCAAATTATTATAATCTATATTTTTATATTTGTTAGAGAAAAAGATTTTACTGCATTTACAAAAATGTTTTTATGTGAATCTGTATAGAAAAATTTTGCGTTTATAAGGACTTTACTAATAGCTCACTAATATTTAAATGTTCAGACTAAAGTCTACTTTATTTTATTATATTTTATACAGTATGAAGAATTTTTTTAAAAAAATAAAGACTTTAACTCACGTTATTATTTTTATATCTAAAAATATAAAATAAGGGATGTTTTTATATTTTACAGATAAATTCTAGAATACGAAAAGTTTGGAAACGGAAAGAGAATTGAAGATTTTATCCGTGCTTTTTTTCAATATTATCAATGTAAATAGTTTCTATAAATATGCGTCTCTAAATATCAATTGTATATTTTTATTTTTATTGAAGTAACGTAATATTTTCATAAATGGTTTGTCTATTATTAATCTACTATTAATCTCACAAATTCGGATAGAATAAAGCAATTTCCAGTTTTAACTCATTGTGATTTACGCAGACGGGTATATTAGCAGATTGCGTAATCATTGCATAATCTTATATTGATTACAGTTTGAACAGTTAGCTTTCACATGGATGGAGCGACAGAAGCTGGGCGGCTCGTATTCGTCGCACAGAGCGCAAAGCGAGAAGCACGTGGTAGTTTGCAGTACGACACTGCAAGCCGACACCATTATGGACTTTCTAAATGAGTTTTACGCCCATCCCTTGCTGCAGGTTAGACGACGAACGAATTACGTGCCTTGAATATTTCATTATGCACTAGGCGGCTTGTGATTTCGTAAAAATTCTTTCTCAAGCACTCAGTTTATCATAGTTAAAATAGCCCGGGCAATTAATTTTTAAATGATTCGTTGAACTTAATTTTAATCACTAGTATAACACCCCAGGTAGAAACTTTGTCTGGAAACAATCAGGGCCCCATATATTTTTTGTAAAATATTTCTGGGATCCAGGTGGAAAATCTAGCTAGGGTCTATGTAAAGTTTGGGACGCCTAAATCGAACAGGCCCTGTCGCTGAATCCAGATCGGTCCAAGATTACGCCCGGAATTTGTTTAGAAAAATTATCTGGAATCTAGCTGGGGTCTATAATTTTCCTAGATATTTACTTATTTTGTGGATACCATAATTGTTTTTATGATCCAGTCTGGTCCAGGCTTCAATCTAAAATTTTTCCCTAAAATATTCCCTGGAATTCCACCCGAGCAGAAATTTTAGTAGGGTTCTGATAGGGTCCTAATAAAGATGCCTTAATGCCTGGTCAGGCACTCATCAGGCAGCTCTGACAGGGCCCTGACCGTAAATGTAACGTCCAGGTTTATCCATGATCCAGACAACTCGCTCTCGCATCATATCGCCTTTTATACTAATACGGGACGATTTTTACTTACGAGGAAGACTAACGCGCGGTCGCCACGTCACGGCAGTATGTGGTACCAGTGCTATCTATTCAGGAGGGAATCAGGGAAAAATCTGTCAGTGGCAATCTAGGACCCATGTAGAGTTTTCCGACTATTTTTCTCTCGGTAAAATCAAGGTAAATTTCTAGGGTGTATTCTGGACCTAAACGGATATTTTTAATTAGATTTTTCTATCCAGGCCCTGTACTTAATCTCGGCAAATTGAGGCAGATTTCTACCTGGGACGGTCTGCGAAAATTGTTAATATTAATTGCCGAATAAGGCAAATAATACAATCGTTTTTGAATATACGTTTTTTGAATAACAATTTTTATTTTTCATACGAAATAATAGAGCGTGCGCACACATTGAATATATTCGTCTCGTGCTAATAAAAATTCGCAGACATTGCAATAGCTTCACAAGGATGAAGATCGTTAATTAATTGTACCACAGCTTTTTATACGCTCATACTTGCTTTGTGATTTTTAATAATCGAAAATGACTTAATACGGATAGGATTATTACGTGGTGCTTTTGTCACCGATGGAACTCGATACTACCATGCGGATGATTCTGCAAGTGCCGATCTGGGCGCAAAGGGTGATCTACATACAGGGCTCATGCTTGAAGGATGGCGATCTCGCAAGGGCCAGGATGAACGAGGCGGAAGCTTGTTTCGTGTTGGCAGCGAGAAATTATGCTGACAAAACCGCTGCCGACGAACACACGATACTCAGGTCAGCGATCAGAGAAAACCGTTAAATTATAAGCTTCGTTAACGTTAAGCTAATGATCGCCGTTGTAAATTCGATATCTTCCCACTACTTTTCTTTTTCGATAATAAAGTTTCACGTCACGGAGATTAAACATAATCCTAATATTATCCCCGACGATCTATTTCGCGAATCTCAGACATTCTTCATTTAAGTTTTACTTCGGAGTTTAAATAGAAGTTAAGCTGCCCTGTTGACCTTAATCACTTAATTTCCTTAACTTTCAAATTCAGTTGTAAAGCGCAGTTAACTAATAAGCAAGCACTTTAAGACATTGGCTCTTTGTCCATGTGATTCTAATTAAATTTCAGATTGGTAAAGGATCCGTAGAAATAAAATAGGGAAAATCTAAAATGCGTTCCAGGCAGTACAATTTTTATTCAAGAAATAGTAGAACAATGTTGATGAAAAATAATTTATGTGTAATTGAAAAATATATGTATAAATAAATTTAAAAATATCCTTTTAAATTCTTCTTCTTAGCATAATAGCAGGATCATTCCAAATGGATTTAGTCTAAATAAATTTTTTGTGCATTATTCGCGTGCGATTTGAAAGCGCGTCTAAATTTCATAGAAAATGAATTTGGCAATTGTAGATCGTGGGCGGTGAAAGATTTCGCACCCAACGTTCCTCAATATGTTCAAATCTTCCGTCCGGAAAACAAGCTCCACGTGAAGTTCGCGGAGCACGTGGTGTGCGAGGATGAATTTAAATACGCCCTTCTGGCAAACAATTGCACGTGTCCCGGCGCATCGACATTGGTTACCCTGTTGCTGCACACATCTAGAGGACAGTAAGTATTGTTCAACCGCAGAACAATAATTATTTCATAAATTTAATCGTACAACAGCAATGTGCCGTTAGCGTGCACAGCCACGTGAACTGTCATTGTACTTCAAGTATTTATATCATCTTTAATATGAGCATTTAAATGTGACGATTAATTTTAAAAGTCCAATGTATTTGGCAAAATGTATATTACTAAATTACAAAATTGTGCACTGGAGCATAAAGTTTTATTAAATCCTACAATGCTATATAACAAAATAGTGTGAGTGAAATATACTATTTTTACATTTTGCGTGACTGCATGCCGTGAATGTTGCATCGCATAAAGACGAGAAAATTCTGAACTGAAATATTCCTTTTTACAGAGAAGGTCAACAGTCGCAGGAAGAATGGCACAGACTATATGGTAAATGTTCTGGCAACGAGATTTATCACATAATTCTCGGCGACTCCCGCTTTTTCGGGGAGTACGAGGGAAAATCCTTCACCTACGCGTCCTTCCACAGCCACCGGAAATATGGGGTTGCGCTTGTCGCAGTCAGACCAGCGGAACTTCCGGAATTTTACGAGGATACTATCCTGTTGAATCCTGGTAATCTCGCGACACACATTACCGGTGTCTTTTAGACTCTTTCTCTTGGATACACTTTTTCCAGCTCTTTATCTCTTGAATTGAAATAAAAAATGAACACAAACGGAGTTGAGAATATTATAATATTCTAATTAGAAATAAAAAGAAGCGACAGAGAAACAAAACGCTCAAATTATTTCGATTGGTTCTGTGCGAGTGTAAAATGAAAGACCGCTACATTTATGTGCCAATCGTGTACGCAGGACCTCGACATATAATGAAGAAGACCGACACTTGCTACTACATGAGCATCACCAAGGAGGAGAATTCCGCATTTGTGGTCGCGAACAATCAAGGCGGCGTCGGCGAGGGCACGCAGGTGATCGTCGAGACGAAGACGGACGCGAATAACGGGTCGGCAACGAACACCCCGACGACCAACACTATAACGGCGACCATGAATTCCACGGGGGCAACGTCGGCGACGACGACGACGACTACGACGACGACGATATCGACCAGCTGCACCGGTGGCGGCGACGGGAACGGTACAGCAATCAGCAATGGTGCCGACGCGCACCAACGATTTTCCAACAGTTGTAACATTGCGCTGAGCGAAACACTCTGCAGACAGGAGACCTGCACGGGGCCCCGTGCACAGGACCAATTGGATGGTTCCCAAGGTCACAGGGCCCCGTTGCTACCGCAGGTTATTTTGCAGGTCCTCCCTAGCACGCCCATACCAACCCAACACTACAACTTACTCGCATCCAATGTCCACCGTGAGTGTCGCATGCGCTATGCTTCTTCTTTTTCTTCTTCTTCAATTTTACTTTTGTCTCTCTTATTTCATCTTACAACATTGGTATTATTCATTGATCAAATCACCCAAAGTTTCAATATCTAGAATTTGGGCAAATTAGTATAGACATAGTATAGTTTAATCTAATAATTACTGGATAGAGCTGTAGGCTTACAAAAGATCTTCGAAAGCTGATTTTAAGAAAATTCTAATATCATTTTTACATATACATATATATACACGAACTCGCAAACTTTACACTATTTGCCCAGGTTTCATTAATGCCTAACAATTAAATTTGAATTTTTAATATTTGTTTGACTGCAAAGAAGTTAGCTCTTTGAAATCCAGTATATTAATTTTGAATTAATTCTTTAAAACTCCTTAAGTAAAGACAGCGCAGAGACTTTGAAGCAAAAGGATTTCAGAGTGAAACCGCTGAATACAAAGAGCTAATTTAAAATAAGCACCTGATCACAATTAGTGTAAACGTGAAATTATATTTTATAGTTCTTTTTTTTAGCACTCTTTTCATTGCACTAAGAGACATCGTTAAATATCGCTTAGAGTGTTATTTGTTCGCACTTGTTAAATGTTCATATCTCATTACACAAACATACACGTACACATACATAAGACACAATGCTTTACAGCTATAAATGTAGAGTGATAATTAATAAAATAGAAAACACTGTTTTTTGAAAAAGAAGGAATAATAGCTAAAGAAATTTAGTACAAGTTTCTTTATTTAAACAATTTTATTTCTATTAGTTAAAAACTGTATCAATTGAGTGCATATTACAAATTTTCTAACATTATTGTGTACATTCTTCGTAAAATTGTCTATAAAATATAAAATCTTTCCTTAAAAAAATCTATTCAAATAATTTAATACTTAGCACCTGCAATATATGTATAAAATAATAATGAAATTATACGAAATTAATTTTATTTATACATATAATTTATTAGTTTTAAAACGCTTTCGTTCACATAGTCGTTTTATGTTACTGCACGAATTTCATACGCCAGGTTATTCTATAATACTATAAAGCGCAGTTATGTGGAAAACTCGGGATAATAACGCATATCGAATCACACGTGCGATTAAATCTTAATATACAGTGTTGGTTGAAGATTAACCGACCGAAATGTCGAACGATTCCTTCCTTTTCACGTCTTTCTTGACGCGGTTTATGCTTGCACGTCGCTTTATGTGTAATCTGCGTGCATATACTGTTCATGCGCCATTCAGTATTCGTCATCAACGACCCTCAATAAGAGCGGTTTCTGAATAGGAAACTGTGAAGGAAGCTATAGTGTGAAATATTGCGAATCCATGTTTCATTCGAGTTACTTTACCGCACGGATCTCGGTTGCGATACGACTGACACGGGTTAGACAGTAATCTGATATGTTATCGATTAATCGATCTATTCAAAACCATGAGTATTCATGGGTAAAATACAAAAAAACCGTTGAAATGGAAAAATATAGATGATAGTAAAAATGATAGTTTATGTGGAATATAATATAATACAATCATCCGCAGAAATCATGATTTTATACGAATATTAAGTATCAGTTAATAATCTCTAATTATAAACTTTTGGCAGTTTAAACAAATAAAAAGATTTTTATTTTAAACACCTTTCTAATTGTTTAGAATGTCAAAAGTTTGTAATTAGAGATTATTGATTAAATTATTTAGTAATGTAATATACAGAATTATTATTTAATAATTTAATTAAACGTCTTTTTAGTTGTAAATACATTAAATACTAGATATTGAAAGAATGAGTGTACAAATATTTATGTAGAACGAGAAAATAGCCGGACGCGACAGTATTTTTCTTGATACAACGAATTACTTTTCACACTTATTATTTCTTAAAGACATTCATGTCTTTTTTCTTCACGTTCATCGATTATGAAGACATTTCTTCTCATAGTATATTCGCAACTTTGTAAGATTATTAAATATTAGGAGGGTCGCTCTCGATATTAGAATCACTCATCGCAGTCAATCTTTTATGTATGTTACAGCGACTTACCTCGATCCCGGCGGATTTGGGGATTCGAGGCAATGCTTAAAAGAGGGAGGATCAACACCACAAACACCAATCACGGGAAATCATCTTGACGTACCACGATCTCTCGATCCGAATCCCAATCTGCTTAGTCCAGAAATTCTAATGCAAAGGAGAGGTGAGTTTTATTCACTAATTGTATAATGTAATAAAAATTACTTGTCAAAATTCGGAAACAAGTATATTATTTATATATTTTTATATATTAAAGTAAAGCACAAATAAAAATTATGTTAAATTTAAAATTTGGTTCATAGCCGGTCATTTAAAAAAATCTGTTTTAGTTTCTTGTAACATTACGCTAAATTGAATTTCTGTTGCTAATGTAAATGAAACTGATAATTAAAGGTTATTTGAAAATATTTACATAGTAATAATGCAGTTTAAATTTTGGTGAAGGAAATATGAAATCGATTAAGTCGCAACAAGTATTTCTTATAATGACATATTTTGGCTCAATGATAGAGTTTCCTTTAGGAATAAGGTGAATGTATAAATTTCAGAAATGTGGAAAGAATACCGCTAATTAACAAAATGGTCTGCACATTAGAAAGAAAAAGAGAGTTTTTTTATTTACAATATTTCAGGGAGCAGAAGACCAAGTATTCTACCAGTACCAGATATGCTAACGGGTTCGACGTTACATTTGCCTGGTCAAGAATCTTTGGATCACGAAGCTGACGAATCGGAGGATGAAATGGACGACGATGTCCCTTGGAGATCGCCAAGCGAGAAAATCGCGTAAGTATTTTAATTTTTTCCCTTATCTTTCATTGCGATGCAGTCTAAGGATCCATGACGGCAGTTTTTGACGAACACATGCAGCACGAAGAATAGTTCGTTGAAAATAGAGAAACGAATCGAGTAGAGAAAATTATTAGCAGGAAGTTATGTTTTTTCTTCTCTTTTTCCGAATTGTTTAATATGCGTTATGACTATATCAATAACTTTACGCACAATTGCAAAATCCTCCGAGGACAATGTCGCACTCTGTCTCGTGCACCTGCATGATGCGATCTTGATGTAACGGATGGGTTTCTATTTATGTGCATCACAACTCTCTATGCATATTGTATGTATTTTATATATTTTTTGTATTTGCACACTAGTTAACATATAATGAAGAAAATACTCGTGAAAGAAAAATCTCAAATTTTCAAGATTGATATTAATGAAGAAGTAATAATTTAATTATTTAATTATCTTATAAATAGAATTAATAATATTTAATATCTATATTTTGTTTTACAAAGCGTCTTATTACATTAATGAAATAATTTGTGATTTATATATGACTTTGTCATAGCGAAAGCTCCGCTCTACCCTATTAAAAAAATCTTGTTCTGTGATTTCTGTAAACTTCAGTAAGTTTAGCTAAAATTCTTGTTAAAATAACGATGTAATATTTTTGTCTATCAATTTTCTATGTTTAACACATGTTACATTATCATAAAATTTTTAAATATCTGCGGAGCTACAAGACGGGGTCACTTGTGTCTTCCTAGAAAACTATACGCCTCGGCGTGTTTTTAATTTAATGACGTCATTAGCGTTAAAACACGGACGCGTCAGGAGCTATTGTACCGTTCATTCTGTGTCATTGAAAAAGAGGGTACTTGCAGGGTATTCTGACAGTTATACGAATATGCACCGTGTATGCCCCGGCTCTTCACGATATGCTTTCATCTTTATCTTACATTCTCTCGACACCATCATTATCTCGCCAGAAAGCCAGTGTTAGTTACACATGAGTGCAAGCGTCGTCAATGTAGTGAAAGGCTCTATATTTGTATCCCTCGAACTTTTACACAACAAGTAAAAATGGCAGCTTAAGAAATAATTAAGAAATATTATTCTATTAGTTGTTATCTGAAATTTTATAGAATAATTATCGATATAATTTTCGATAATTTGTTATAATTGCAATTATCACAAATTATACAATGTTTTAGAGTTTTACAACGCGAATACTAAATTACTATATTATCATATTTATAATAATAAAATAACTAAATTTTTTTTATTAACATTCGCTATCTTCCAGTAAATACAGTGAATATTAAAGTTACCGCGTATCTGTGTATCTAAATATCCGCAAACAATTCAAAACGCTCAGGGAAAGATTTAACATTAGGTTTTAAATATCTTAGCAATTAAATTTTATCTTAAATTTCGATGTAATCATTAAAATTGATAGTAATTATTTAATTTCTAAAAATTTCTGTTTTATATACCTGTAATCATCTAGTATATAACATGTAATAGAATAAACTCTTCTTAACAATTTAATATTTAATATATACTGTTCGCATAAAGAGTGAGTTCTAAAATATTTTATCTAAATGACGCGGAATATACAATACAGCTTTAACATTTCCTTACTCTGCTAGTCTTAAGTAGCAATAGTACTATGTCTATATAGCTAGCAGTAACGATTTCTGATATCTCTACATAGATAAAAAAAATCTGGAATGTGCCAAATAATATAGAGCTTCGAAGTAGGACCTCAGAGATAGATCCAACTCTATAGATTTTTTTATCACTAGGGTTTTATTCGTTCCATCGTTTTACATTTTCTTTTTGATTTATCTATTTGAGAAGCGCAAAATACCAAACACGGTAGATCGGGTATCGTTTTATACGCGACGTTTCGACGCACTGACATTTATTCATCTTTAATCGTTTAAGTAATAATCGTGCAAATCAATGGTCGATGTATCTGTCTCAATGTCTCTCAATGCCTGTTTCACTAACGGCACCGGACGGTGCCGTTGAATCGCTGCTCGATGCTGTCCTGCCTGACACCTTATATGTCCTGGATGTTTTCGATGTCTTCCTTCTTGCATCGTCCTTGTGCACAGCCGTCTTGCTGCACGACTTCCGTCCAGCAGTTTCAAAGGGTGAGTCTCTTATTTTACGCTTCTACACATCTCCATTTGATTTGCTTCTTTATTTATTAAAATGTGTTTTATTTATTTCACTTTTAGTTTTCTTATGACAACTATGTAGTTCATGCACATAATATGATTTATATAAACTTAAAGATTTGCTGGTTGAAGTCGACGTCGTAAGTATGTATCGAAGATAACAGCGTTTCGACGCTGTTAATACTTCTGTTATTATTACATAATATTCGTATCATATGTAATTGTCAACAAAAAAACAGCATAAATAAAACTTAAATTTTTTAATCCTTAATATTTTTAATATGTATTAATTAAACGTAAGCTACATAATAAGAGTAAATAATATCCAATCTTCTTGATATTGTTAATTACAATTAACATAAACCTTTAATTTAAATAGTAAATAATTTTAATCTCGTTGCTACATAAAAACATAATAATTAACGACTGAAAATTAATATGAAAATTCTATATTGAAATTTGTATTTCAAATATTTCCTGATTTCATTTTTAAAAAACTCAAAACTTTTTAAACGTGATTAATAGTGAATATAAATTACTGTAAGATAATTTACAAACGGAATACCATCATGATCGTAATAAATGTTTTCGGGCCTAACACTATGCCAATATTGAATAATATTTACAGTTTGGATAGCGTGACACAAAGATGTGAAATCCGAGAGTATAATATAAAACGACTTACACTCTTTCATCTCTTTCAAACGGGACTTATCTCTGACTTTCAAGGAACTGAAAATCGGTAAATAACATTCGAGAGAGACGAGCTTTTCTCCATGAAAGAGCTGCATATTTTAGGGACGAACATTTTTCTAAAACAATTTTGTATGTAAATATCTACAATTAAATGTACTACCACAAAAACTGATAAAAAAATAACTTAATTTTAATCTAATCCTTAAAAAGAAACAAGTCTGTGTCTGCTCCGTCGAGCTCTATTATCTTTATGTCGATGATACGCCAACTCAAATTGTCGTGTTATCACTTTGTCGTCCCCAGGAGACATTCGTTAGCAAGAAGCGCGCGGCGCCGAAATCTAGTATCATACGCAGAGGCATCGGGACGAAATAATTAAGTTTTGCAATGTTGCAGGATTGTCAAGGGATTTCCACCAGTTTCGCCCTTCATTGGAGTTTCGCCAACCTTGTGCTATCTTCTCAAGGAGAAAAAGCCTCTGTGTTGTCTTCAGCTGGCTCAGGTATGTACGGCTCTACGGACAATTTTCCGGCAAATTTAATTTAAAATTACGAATAAAATTGTATCCATTTCTGACACTCACAAATCTCCTTGCCGTTTTATTAGGTGTGCCAACATTGCAGCTATAGAAATGCCAAAGAGTACAATTGGCAGAACAAGACCATTATACTAGCAGCGGATTACGCTAGCAATGGAATTTATAACTTTATTATACCGTTGAGGGCACATTTTAGGTATTTATTGCATCATTAATGCTTTCATATACATATAATACGATTATTAACTGATAAATGTTACAGTTTGTATTGTCAACTTGACTTTACAAAATTATTTCCATACGTAATTGCCAAGAAGCAGAAATCTTGTCATCTGTGTTACTGTGCAACGATTAAACTTTTTAATTACATTGAACAAAATGTGAGCGCCGCATAAGCAGTTAAAAAAATTTTAATAGCCGTTAATTAGAGTTGTTAGTTGCGATTTTGTTAGCATTATTTAAATCTACATCTCTGTCACGTTAACATTTTCCGTTAAGTGAAAAATATATTCATTGATTTCAAGCATTTCACATATTTCTTAATCGTAGCGTCACTTAAAACTATATTTTAACTTGAGGACATAACGGTTTAAACCTATTTAGCTGTGTATCTTTAATACAAAATGTATTTAAAAAACTTAAATACATTAAACGCGTACGCGCACGCAATGATCAAGTGACGTACGAGAAGGAACGATCAATTAACAAGCAGGAACATTTGCCAGGTCGAAAACATCATTGAATCCGATTATCCTTTTGCTGGAGAGAAAACCGGAAATCGCGTTTCTCGACGCAGTGTCCTACTTTCCGTTGGTTTACTGGATGCGTGGTTCTATCGACTGCTTAGACGACCTTCTCCGGGCTGGTATCACTTTAGCAGAAAACGTCGTAGTCGTAAACAAAGAACTCAACAATTCCGCTGAGGAGGACACCTTGGCTGATTGCAATACAATTGTTGCGGTGCAGACTATGTTTAAGTGAGTAGCATTACAATAAAAATTACCTGGCAAGATATCTTTGGACTGTAATTTACAATTTAAGTCTATAACTGAGCCTTGATTGCAAAAGATATTTGTATTGCTATTTAGTTTAAAGCAGGTAAATCATTTTAATATGTTGTTCATGTATCTAGTCTCTAGATACAGAGTTTGTTTGAATATTTTCTTATTATTACAATAATGTGTATGTATATAAAAATTAAATAGTATTTACAGTAATATAAAATTATTTAATTGTTAATTAATCGTAGAGAATCGAGATTATGAAATTTTTTATTATAAAGAAGATGAAATTTAAGCTTATTGTTAATTATTAATAGCAAATATAAAACAGGAAATTATCAATAAAGTTACATAAAATTACACGTTACGTTCCCACTTTTTATGGGATCGATTGTTTTCTGTTTCTTTGATAGGTTCTTCCCAAGCATAAAGAGTATAACAGAGTTGTCCCAGTCGAGCAATATGCGTTTCATGCAGTTTCGGGCACACGACAAGTACGCTTTGCATCTCAGCAAAATGGAAAAGGTACTCCTCAGTGCTACTACCGATGACAACTACTCCGATGAGCCTCCGATGGGCTCCCCGGTAACACGATATCACTCATTCTCCAACCTCTGATTGATTGATTGTTGAATTGATTGATCGATTGACTGCTAAATTCTAATATTTTCGTCGCTCTCGTATCATTCTAATATTTACGACATATTGGATCTGAAAATTCTCTATTACACTATCACAAAATTGATATTGTTGTGCCACCGTTGTGTATTTTGCAACCCCAGTATAAAATGCGTGATTTCGATGGAATGACAAGAAAAAAATACGCTTTTGCGACCTGAACTTGTAAAACAATTCCTTCCATATTTCATCCTACTTCGCTTCCCGGCGAATGGCTTTTATACAAATCTAATTTCGGTGGATGCAGCGTTCGATATTGCGGCAAACTTAAAAAGACGCTTCCCGAGATTTGCGATCGCCGGCCTCACCGTAAAGCCGCGCCGTTGGAGGCGGAAAGAAATTACGAGAGTAAAGTCGCTCCGCACGGAAATCACTTTGCTCTAAGTGCTGCTTTCCGCATGCACCCTCGATGCGCCGCTTGTCAACTTTACCAACGCCACCATATCTTTACTTTATTCTTTAGTGCGCGATATTGACACGGAAGAACCCGAGATAAAGTTTCTTTTATAAATAAAATTCCAAGTAGGATAAAACGTAGCGCATAATTACGTTGTAACTTAGGTTGTAATTAATTATAAACCGGTTACATACACAATTACAAAGACTTTTAAGAATGTACATATATTGATTACAAGTACTGATGTGGTAAATTAAAAAAGTTTTAACAGAGTAACTTTTTACAACAATTACCTTACGAGATATTTTACGAGAGCGATGAGAATATGGAAAATATTGACAATTATGAACAACATTTTACAAGTAGTCGCTTATGAACCTATCGATGCATGGGTCACGATGAACTGATCACCTTATTGTCCCGTTGCACTCAATATATCCGATAGTTATTCCTTAGTACTCTTTAATCTTAAATTAGATGTTATAGCATGGTGACTCATGCCGTGAAATTGATGCCGCTTAATAAATTAGATTCTCCGAAAATATCATCATCATTTTCTTCGCCTTGCAAGCACATACATTATTTTACTTTTCCTGCATCATTTATATAGCATGACACACTTAGTCAACCTGCATTACCTGGCAATTACCCAGTATTTTTATATATCCCTGTACAATGCCTATACAATAGTGTTGTACAAAATGTGTGACATGCGTACTCATTCAAAGATTGGACGCGGTAGCATCTGTTTTAGCTTCATGCCACAAAATGTCATATTAGGCTAATTATACTATTATACTATAATTATTTATTATAATAATTATAATGTTAGTCTCATAATATTTTACACATCAGTTTTGCGAATGTAAAGTTCCACAGTTGCACCATTACGCAATAGCGTCTCCAATCTTCTAATCCGATCTTCTAATCTTTATTCTTCTGAGTGGAAGAAACGTGAAACTTACACGCCATGTCATTTTCATGCTACATTGCATGATGCGATATGCCGGATGCTTGAAGATTTTTAATAGTTAAAATATTTAATATATAAGTTAAATTATAGATATTAAAATTGATCGGTCACAAATTTCAGTATTTGAATTAGTGAAAATTATTAAAAGACGAAATAAAAAGGCTAATTCTGCTATTACATGTATAAACCGAATACACGTTTTGTTTATTCAATCATGATGTCTCATACGTCGCGTTGTAGATAACAGTATTTTTTTAGATAGATTTTGATAATGTTACGTTATAGATTTTTTAATGAATAATATTGATTAAACAAACATTTCATAATTATATTTCAATATTGCCTTATTTTTTTGTACACAATAATACACTTTTGACATTTTATTCATTCATGATATCAAAATGTGGTTTTTAGAATTACAAATGCTTGCGGTTGTTTGTTAGAAATTTTTATTGGAATATTAAAACATTGGTATTGTTGTTTCATGCCTGACCGAAAATGTTGGCACACACGAGATGTATTAAACAAGAACAAATAATGTTTGTATATATTAGAGTGACCAGGAAATGTATGAGAGTTCGTAACAGATTTTAGGAGTGATTGTTTGCAACAGCCGGCGATATTATCTACGAATAAATAAAATTCACAACTGATAATGTTTGCAGAGAGAAAAGGAAAGAGGATCTCACATATCGTACATGTTTCGATTGCCGTTCGCCGCCGGTAGTGTCTTCAGCGCCTCGATGTTAGATACTTTACTTTACCAAGCGTTCGTCAAAGATTACGTGATAACATTCGTAAGACTGTTACTGGGAGTAGATCAAGCGCCAGGATCTGGATTTCTCACGTCGGTGAGCAATTGTTCAAAATATAATTTATTAATATAAAATGTACTAATGGAGAGAGAGAGAGAGCCAAATTCCTCTGTACTAGTTAACTTCTTCGACATATATGAATGATAGCTACAATAGCCACAACATTCATCGTTGTAAACCATTTTTAATCTTACGAAAAATTTAATATAAATTAAGAAAATCTGACCACCAAATTTCGTGATTTAATTAGCCAATTTCTACATACACGGGAATTCTGAAGAATTCTATACTATGTTGTGTGTTTCTGTACTTGTATTTACTAATTAATAAACACCAACTGACAGATACATAAGAAATCGTAATATTAGTAATTTTATTAATAATTAATTATTTTCTACTCAACTGTTTAACATGTTACGTACAACATGTGTTATATTAAATTTATATTATTAACGTTATGTAACTGTTGGTGGTTACTGGGTATGTGTACTATTTTATTGATATTATTGGCGAATGAAAACAATTGCAGATGCGTATAACTAAGGATGACATGTGGATAAGAACGTATGGCAGATTGTATCAGAAACTTTGCTCGACCACCTGCGAAATTCCAATTGGAATATACAGGACGCAGGATACCACCGTGTCCGACTCCTCGCATGTAAGCATAATTTCACATCTATCAAGCATAACTTCTTGTCTTGGAAGAAACATAGTCGAAGTAGAGTTTGCTACATGTACCTTTTATAAGGAAACTTATAAGGATTTATAAGGAAAAATCGTTGAATGGCGGCTGTGAGTAGCGCATGGTTGTGCTCTCGCTCCTTCTTTTAATTTCGTTTCCTGCCCCATGTCTTCTCGTGGCATTTCTCGGCCTAATCCCGCCGCGCATAAATAACGTGCCGGGGCCGTTGCATCTTGAACTAATTCTCATAGCACGTTATCTCCCTAATTCATTGATCTTTGAACTTGCATCGTGCTAGATTTAGTGTGCTCGACTGCGACGCAGCTTTGTTTAATCACCGGCGTGTAAAGTACAGTAACGAAACGGGAACAAAGACTATTTGCAGTGATGGTATAGTTAAAAAACAATTTCGGCCGTTCCCACAAATGTAATGCGAGGCGCTCATTTCGAGCGTCAGTGTCCTCGGCGAGGAGCACTTACTTCGATGGGACAGGCCGAGCGGGCGTACGGTCTAATCATTGCATCACAGCGACACGCTGTACTCGGACTCGCGAAATCGCGGCGTAGGCGATGCGCTCATTAGTAAGGGTAGAATTGCTTGTCGTTTCAACAGGACGACTCAGACGCGGAAAGCGACGCCGGCGTCGGGGTGACGTACAAGGTGCGTCATTCGGCGGCAGCTTCGTGCCTTGCGAATTGCGCCACCCGCGACAAGGGTGCATCTGCTGTGAGTAAAACGTCGACGTGGTGGCTGTTGTTTCCTTCTCAGATCGTTTTATATACATATATTTCTCTCTTATTCTCCATTCTCGCCTTAATCTCACTATCGCTCCGCCTCTTCGTACCTCTCTCTATCTTTTCTTTTTCTCTCTCTCTCCCTCCCCCTCTCCCCCCATCCCTCTCTTTCTCTCTTTCTCTCTGTCACTCACACTCTGTCTGATGGACGTCCAGACTCGTCTGCCGCAGCACAGCAGCGCATGCGAAACGTTGTATCCCCGAGATCGATTGTGCTCACATCAGGAATTTTCGTCTTCGCGGAGCCGAAGACATTTTTTATCTATTGTTTAGACTTAAGGTCAATCGATTGTGGCGTTCAGCTGATATCGAGAAGGTGGCTGTAACGGTGGGGTGGTAGCGGTTCTTGCGATGCCATACAAACCGCGCGCGTTAAGCCACTTGTTGCATGCTATGGAGATAAAGTGCACATATTTGTTCAACTTTACTACATTTTTAATAATTCCCACGCAAACGTGAACTGTTTCCTTTCGAAAAGTCTTATGAAACCTATACATTTACAATACGAGTAACAATCAAATCGCGAAGAGATCGCGTGAGAAAGCGCTAGGATCTAAAAAGTCTTTATTCTTATTTGCCTCCTACGAAAACTGCAATTCTTTATTTTATCCCGCACTTTATAAAGAGCACGTAATTTCGAGCGCCGCACAATGCTGATGTCACTTTAATGTACGAGACTATGATAAGAGATCAGGTGGAATAACTGATGCGTTATTCAAGCCACCTCGTTGATATTATCGATCGTTACAACAGACTATCTCTCAGCGGATGCAGATTTGTGCTGACATTTGGTCGTCTGTTTCATATACCAGTACTCGGTGAGCCTTGGCGACGAGGCGCGCGACAACCACGCGCAGCAGATCGAACGAGCGGAAATTGCGAACCTGGTGCGCTCGCGGATGGAATCGTTGAATCTGCCGGTCGCCGATTACGACGACGTGTCGGAGAAGCGCAACAGCCTATCCTACGTGATTATCAATCCGAGCTGCGATCTGAAGCTCGAGGAAGGTGACATCGTCTATTTGGTGCGGCCCAGCCCGTTCTCCGCGCAGAAGACCTTCGAGCGGCACAACTCCCGGCGCAAGAGCAACATCAGCTTCTGCTCGGCGCAACTGGTGTCCCAGATGAGTGCGGCGGTCGCGGCCGCGGGTCTACAAACCGGCTCGGGTAGTCGGCGCGGCTCCACCATAGGTTTGGCCAGACCGCCACCCTTGGGTACGACCAAGTCGAATTCACTGTCTCTACCCGACAGTCCTACCGTGGCCGGTACCCTGCGCGGTCGCTCCAACTCATTAAGGGTGGTCGATGATATTCTGCTGCGACGCAGTAATTCCCTCAGGCAGGGCCTGACGATGACTACAAGGCGAAAGAGTAGCCTGGAGGACATCGGTCTGGGTGCGCTTTCACATCCCTCCAACCACAACCCGATCAAGATCGCCTTGAACGGCTCGATCGGCCTGGAGGTGACGCCGCCGGAGGAGGGCTCGCAGGCTGGTGGCGGTGCTAGCAATACCGGTATTCTCGACGTGGGTCTGCCCTCCATGCCGGAACTCAACGCGGCCTTGGGACCCAGCCTCGGCGCGGGCCTCGGCGGCTCCTTGGGTGGTCTCTACGATCCGCCCTCCCTTCAGTGTCCGATGGGCTCGCCCTGCCAATCGCCGCAGATGCAGGGACCCACGCAGGATCCGCAGCACATACAGGGAACAATAGTATGATATAACCTAATGTGGGGACGCAGGCTCTCCGGCGTGGCACGAAATAAGTGGCTGTAGCGTTCCCACATGGCATTTAGGGCTGGACGACGTCAAGAATGACGTCCTTACGGTCATAACGGATCGATGAAGGATACTCGAGCGGCGTATTTCGTGGGACTGATGGATGAGACGGCTGGAGAGCAAGGTGTTTCGATGAAATTAACCATGTTGGACTGATAGCTATTGCAACCTGTCACGGGATATTTTGCAATAGTTGAAATAAGTTGGGATGAGATTACTTCAACAAGTTTCACTTAGTTCTGAATTAGAATTGATTTCTTTACTATATCCCTCTTATAGCTCTTCTAGTTTACAAGTGTAAATACGTAAATTGAAAAATCTTTATTGCAAGTAAATAATTTAATGCAATTATTCATGCAATATTCGTCGATATTGATATTCAAATACTTTAAATTAATTAGCGATCGTGGATGTTTACGAAAATTAATTTTTATAAAACGGCGATTGGAATTAAGCGCTTCTTTATCTTGTATTGATATTGTTGAATTACTCGCACTCTCCAATTTATGATAACACTTTCTTTTTTTGCTTCAAGACGGCGTGATTTATGACAATTCGTGGACCTAAATGCAGGTATATCAAATCGTAACTGTGATACGTCAGTTCCATTGATCCTCTGAAGAGTATGCTTTCTATTTGCGAAAGATCTCGTTGGAGATTTCAATGCTAGCACGATTGTTAATGAAGAGTCGCATTGAAAACCAATAATCATTATTTTGTTACTAGAATGTAACCATGTTACGAGCTTCAGATTTGGATGTACCTTACTTTTATAATTCATACCAATAGTAGTTATATTTTTAAAACGTTTTGCTCTCTAGGTCGCCTCTAGAGTACCGATATCCGTGATTATGACTTCATTCATTGGGCAGTGAATCGTATAAAATTAGTGCAAAGTGGCACTTAAAAAGAGTGCTTTGCAACTGACAAGCATATACACTGAATCACCTACTGAATGTTGCCACAGGAATTACTGCGACTTAATATCATGTTTTATTTGTGGAGTCAGTTTGGAATCTACAAAATGTTTAATTAACATTGGAAATTGCAGATCTTGTTTATTTTTTACAGTTTTCCTTCGACGATGGAAAGAAACTAAATTAATTCACCAAATAATCTTTTACATTATTTAATGTATAATTACAATTATTTACAATTAATAATTTGCAAACTGAAATCGTGATTCATAATAAATGCTTGCCCGTTGTATATTTCATATATTCTCGAGATATGAAACGAAAATACAACAGGAATGTTCTATAACGTACTCCTCGATTCTTATCTAGCGTTACGCTCAGCGGTCGAGCGTGAATAATTTTATAATAGAGAGAAAAGTTACGGCGAGAAAGAGTCTATTATATATATATTATAGAGATACGATGTACGACCATTTTATTCATATCACGTGAGAGTGCCGCTCGCGCGGAAATCATCGTTATATCCTCCGTAAATAGGCGGAAGAGTATTTTAGAAAGATTTAAGTGCTTAGAACACGCGCGTATATTATCATGACTTTTCGCGTGATTAATAAATCGTCAGTGGATTTTAATGTCGAGTCGCAGGACGATTGTCGACCTTCGTGACGACGCCGAGATTTACGGCCGATATTTCAAACCAGTATAGACAAGTACCGTGAAAATTACGTGACAGACGAGAATCGATCGCAAACGAATCGCACGAAAACTATATCGCTATATATTACCTTCTTCTTCTACTTAATTTACTCTTGTATTAGTTTCCGTGTTTCGTGGGTATTGTCCCAAAAGTCAGTTATCGTTAGCGAGTCAGTAAGATTGTTCTCGCTTGATGATTCAACAATTCGTTCAATTACAATAGTTTGTTGAATTAGAGCCGTCCTTCGCGACTCGGGACAAGTTGCACCAACTGGATTATGTAATCCAAAGTTATCTGTCACTGTGGGTGACGTTTTCCTGACTTTTTTTTTCTGAATTGTCACATTGTGGTGATGTTAATAGGATTACAATAATTTAAAATATGTCTCAAAAATGTTCAAAAGGTATTTGCGAAAGGTGAATGACAAAGTGTCGTCTGGGCAAGATATAAGTGCACCACAGTTTGCCAGATTGGTGCAACCGGTCACATTAGGATCTAATCATTGACGTGACGCCACAATCGTGACGCTCACAGCCAAATGCAATCGTTCGTTGACCAATTTACACTTTTCTTCGACCAAGTCATATTATCAAGTACCTGCTTCTATATTGTTTTTATTAAGCCTAGTCGATTCAGTGCTATTAAATGCGTGGCCAGAAATCTATTCCACGAAACAATTTTACAACTTTTTAGATTATTATTTTTTATTTCATTAATTTTATATATGTGTGTGTTCTAATGAAGCGTTAAACGTTAGCAGTGCAAATAATATTTGTATAAAATAATATAACAATTTGCGAATATTATTTAACTTCAACTAATTTTTTAAATTTAGTTGGCTCTGAAGTGAAAACAAATTTTTATTACATTAATTTTTAAACGCCTTATTTTTAGAGGTTAAAAAATAAATTGTATTGTCTATTCGACCTATATATTACGTGGTAATAAATATGATAATCTAAATTTAATTTGATTACAATAAAAGATTCAAGCGAAAAGTAAACTATAAGAATAATATTAATAAAAATGAATGAAAATTAATAAAAACAATATGTTCAAAAGCATAAAACGCAAAACAGAAAGCTGGAAAATAGATTCGTGAAATAGATCAGCCATGCTCTAACGCCAAAAAAAATACGATAATTCTTTTAACCGAAGTCGAGATGAGGCAATTCTTGAATGCGTCTTGTACAAAATCAAAATGTAAGATAAGTAATGCGCCATGTCTCGTTTCTCTCGAACTGACTTTACATCCGATTGAGAACAGCAGAATTATCGCATTTTCGTCGTTCTACTATTTCATTCAACTAAAATCGATCATTTTTAACATCTGATTGCCCACGCATTTCAATCTTTAATCAAATTATTCTCTGTCACTGCTCTTTTTTCTCCGTTAGCTCTTTATTTGTTTCTCTTCAATTAGCGCTGATTCCTTCGTCGGCGACAGCAGACGAAGTCTTGTAGACTTTTATACATAGATATCATGTGAACGAAATATCTTTTAGAGAAAAATAATGAAGGATTTTTTATATAGTAAATAGAACAGATTTCTGCATTCCGAATATAAAAAACACGATAATTACAACCTCGTTTCAAACAATAATTGAATTAGAAAAGCTCGATCATTTTGAATAATTTTACCGTTTGAGAAACGTACAGAGGCCGCCCAACAGTACAGTTAAATTATCGTTTTGACACGCTTTTATCCAAAATAGAATAGCAAGGAGAACGACAAAAATTACGTTAATTATCATGTTACGCAGCCACATATTTTCAAATTAAAGTTTATTGCTCAAGTTTTCGCGTCTCTCCCCTGTAACTCTCTTTCATTCCCTGTCGAAGAAGTTTCGTTGAATTTGAGAATTCTTTCAAATGACACAATGAAATAATGGCATCTAAACTTCTTCTTTGACTAATGTGGCAAAGGTATCTCGTATGGGGAAATTACCATTGTGAGATTGCAGAAATAAATTTAAATCTTGAGATGCATCGAAGGTATCCATGTATTCTCATGATATTATCAGAGCGAGTAAAACGATTATTCGGAGAATATATATACACACTTACAATTAATTATAGGATCAACCAATATGATGTGACCTGACTCTTCATAGCTGAATTCAATAATCTATAGAGTATCACGTTACAATTTAATGCGGCAAAGTCACGGCGATCTCTCGCAAGGTGCTTGCTGCTCTCGAGGAAGATTGTTCGAATTACGTCTCGAATGAGGGCGCGATCGATTCCGCGAAATTTTGCATGATGCCCTTCTTACAATATACAAAATTTAACTTGCGCGTGCAAGTTTTGCACGGTGTAGAAGTGCAACGATTTGTCGTGCGTGCAACGTGTGTTTGATTCCTTGGAAAGCAAAACATTGAATTTGACTCGACTACGAGTAATGTGTACTCATTACATCTCAATTTATATTAAAAGACGTAGAATCCGCGGGAACGAAGAAAAAACAAGTTGAAAATTTAAAAACAACTTATTGGTAGCGTAGTATTGGTAACTGATTAATCTGTAATAACTTAATTATTTGTAAAAGGAATATGTTTATACTTTTCCCCTGTAACGAAATTTTCACAAAAGCTATTAATGATAGCCAAAGTACATTATTATTGAGGCACA